AAAAAAAAAAAAAAAGAAGCTCGAGTCACGCCCAGAAATATTCTGACGAGCATCCCTGTCAATCCCTCCCTCCCTCCCTCCCTCCCTCAATCAATTCATTAGTAACACAAACATACGGCTTCCTCACAGGTTCGTAATGCTAGAAGTATACATCTCAGGTATCAGATTTTTAACAGCTAGATCGTTTGTGAGTTGACTACTTCTACTATGACATTTTGTCCCAAGAGACAGTGGCCAATCAGGTTATATAAATGCCGTTATTATGATTTGGTGGCTTTCGGGATTGAAAGTATTGGATTATAAGGATAATGCCTTTCAGGGGTTTAATGGAGCCACACCCTGATTGATCTCATCTGGTGGTTTAAGGTAAATCCAATTGTTTTCCAAGGGATCTGGTCTCGCAGACGTCACTGAGGTCGTAAGGTGGCGCTTAGCCCCACTTCAGGGGAGGATGCAGGAGTTTTTTTAAGGGGGGTGGCTGGCATCTTGGGGTTGCAAAATCAAAGGGGCCAGCCTCTAAAATGTGGCAATTTAAGAACTGGAACCTAATTGAAAACTGTTACAACGTACTAGTAATTCCACAAAGTAGAAATAACAAGGAGGTATCTGTAAAGAGTGTTTGCCGTTATTTCTTCCATAATATTTACAACTTTTTTAATGTTTTGCTCCTCCAGAGGTGGGTAGGCATCCAATCCACAGCCCCCCCCCACCTCCGTTAGCCTTAGATTTGCCCCTGCACTTCCCTTGGTGGGGAAAAGCGCTGCGTGAATACCTTTATGGAGACTCCAAGCGCCCTTGAAAACTAAATTCAAATTCCAGGAATTTTCAAATGAGAAGAACAAACCGTGTCGTGGATTGGGGGATACCAGTCGACACAAATAAACTACGTTTACTGATTGATCGATTGCTTTTCCGATCAAGTTTCATCGATTGGCCACTCCGGAGAAAAAGATAACAGCCGAGTGAAGTACATCAAGGTGATGCAACTTCGCAGTTGGTAGGTTGGGCTCGGATA